ACACACACACACACACACACACTCGTAGCCGTACCAGTCGATCTCGTCCGGCATACACTACACTTACTCGTTACTTTCTCTGTAACGAAATAAGGTGGTGGGGCCACCGGGGTAGTCGCGTGGCCCCATAAGATATCCCCGCGAGCAGAGAGACCGAGAAGCGACTGCACCGCGAACACAGACCGTATAAACAGGCCTAGGCTCCGCTCCGGAGGAACCGGACGAGGAATCGGGATGCACTTTCCGTGTTCATGAATATGATAATGGGCTAATGGCCGCTAGTCGTTGTTTAATTACCGGTCGTGGCGCACACTAGCGACCACACCGGACACACCGGACCCCGCTTGCTGCTTGTCGTTAAGCCCCCGAGGACGCTCCAGCGAGTTGTTGGTGCACCCGTAACACCCACCTTTCCAACCATTCATCCGGGCCGTGCGTGCGTGTGTCGTGTCGCATGCTCGTGTCTTGCACGCTACACGGCTACCGTTTACACCACCGGGCCTAGCTTCTTCCCCTTGCGGTGGAAAGAAGTTCCCTCTGCCTCGCTCCTCCTCGTAGCTAGTTGGCCACCACTAGAAGGCATTCGAGAGAGAGAGAGAGAGAGAGAGAGAGAGGATGTCGAACCGGGAGAAACGAGCAACACGAACCCGTGTGAGGATCTCGTTGTCGACATTCGCTGCACCGTTCCGTTTTTAGGATTGTATATATCCGGCCAACTTGCCGGAGAAATCGCCAGTGTGAAAGGGTGGCTAGGACTGTTGGACTTTAATTAGTGGACCGTGGAAGTTCGCCACGGTTTCGTGGAACTGAAGATTTGCTCCGTTCGTTAAATTATCGTTTTACCCGGAGCGGATATTTTCTGCAAGGTTACACGATAGTATAACGCAGTTCAACACATCTGACAATTCCTATTGAATCGTGAGCTAGCGTGATGTTGCTTGAATCAAACAGTCTTCGCTTCGAATTTTTCCGAAATCCGCACGTACGACTTTCTAATGCAACGTGTCTCCATCCAATGGACCCACGGAATAATTCACGCGATTTAATAGGAGAGAAGGGGATGAATGTACATTTACAATGCACAACGACAAACGTCTGAACGACGAGAGAAAGAAGGCGCTTTAATCCTATTGTCTCACGACGAAGCACTAATTCGTCGTGCTCTGCAACAACAGTAACTTTCTCGTTCCTGCCCACGCCCATCTCTCTAGGAAGGGATTTGAATTTTAAGCGGGCGATTGTCAGTTTTCTTTCGCGATAACCGATGCAGATCCTGTCCCAACGAGACGTGCATTCCGTTCGGAAACAACGGAAATTAATCCCTTCTTACAAAATCACCGAACAACTCGTTGAGGATTAAAATTCCATTATCAAAGAAATACTTGAGTTATATTCAAAATAAAGAGACGAGAAATAAATAAGTGGGGGGGAGGGGGAGAAAAAAAGAGCTTCGGCAAGAAAGAGTCGGCACCGTGCCTTGTGAAGATAGCTGTTGGACGTTTTTCGTGGCGCGTCTGTCTTTCCGAGGGTCAAAGTCGCGCGTGTATGCGGGAGGTCCCGAGGAATCTGCCGCGTAATTTTTTTCGACTGACGCTTTTCGCCTCGTAATGCTGGCTTACGATGACCCGGTCGACAGGATCCACGACCCGTAGACACGTCGACAACCGACACGGCCAGAAACGGCAAGCCACTATTTTCGATTTACGCTCCGCACGCCGTGATAAATGATCGGAAACTGTACCGCGCCTCCTTCGAGAATCGAGGACACAGATTTCTGAGAGGTCTCTACCCAGATGATCCCTTCGTTCGCGATTCGTCAAGTGTTGATACAATGTGACCTAATTAATACTCCATTCACGCGATCTCTGGTAACATAACATTGGTGTGTTGCATCGATTAATTTCAGAGTAATAACTAAACTGCTTCGATTATTGGATAGATCAAACTTTGTATAATTACAGAAAACGTCTCAAGATATAGTTTAAGGTCTAATTACTGAGACACACACAGAGGACTTATTCTTCTTTAAAAATTGCTGGTGGACAATTACGAAAACATTCAAATTTCTCTTCTGGTAACATAACATAGGTTGCATCGATTAATTTCAGAATAATAATTAAACTGCTTCGATTATTGGATAGATCAAACTTTGTACAATTAGAGAAAACGTTTCAAGATATAGTTTAAGGTCTAGTTACTGACACACACACAGGATTTATTCTTCTTTAAAAATTGCTGGTGGACAATTACGGAAACATTCAAATTTCTCTTCTGGTAATATAACGTAAGTGTGTTGCATCGATTAATTTCAGAGTAATAACTAAACTGCTTCGATTATTGGATAGATCGAACTTTGTACAATTACAGAAAACGTCTCAAGATAGAATCTAATTACTGACACACACACACACACAGGATTTATTCTTCTTTAAAAATTGCTGGTGGACAATTACGAAAACATTCAAATTTCTCTTCTGGTAACATAACATAGGTTGCATCGATTAATTTCAGAATAATAACTAAACTGTTTCGATTATTGGATAGATCAAACTTTGCAATTACAGAAAACGTCTCAAGATATAGTTTAAGGTCTAGTTACTGACACACACACACACACACACACACACAAGATTTATTCCTTTTTAAAAATTGCTGGTGGACAATTACGGAAACATTCAAATTTCTCTTCTGATAACATAACATAGGTTGCATCGATTAATTTCAGAGTAATTTTGTACAATTAG